CCATTGCATATCCACCACAGTCAGCTGATGGGGAGGGAAAGGGTCGCAAAAGTCCGAGGGTGGCCAACCCAAGACATCTTATGATCCTCATGATCAACGATTCAACTCAAGAAGTCATGCTTCGCCATAAGGAGGGGCACTCAGATTAGGGAGGCAGGTTGTATAGGGTTACCCCCCCACCATCCTCATGATCCACGAGTCCGCTCAAGGTAGGGGGCACTGTTGCTAAAAGTCAAAGCAAGACAAAACACCGACGTGACAGGGCGCAATCGAATTCCCATAGACAGCCCTGATGCCTAAACATATGCACCTTCCCGTGTTGGTTTCAAAGGTGCTACCTGAGGAGGTCAATGCCTCACATAGTATCACCCTCCAGTCCCATGCCCAGGTCTAGCCAGTGTCCAACGGGTTCCAGATTCTGTCCCACCATCGCCATGTAAAGACAACCCCCCGGTACTGCAAGAATGTGGTTCTATTATTTCCGGGATCTTGCAGGAGGGGAACGCAGTGTGACACAACTTGCACCACGGGAGCACCAGGCCTTTCTGTTCCAGGTATGTGCGGTCTATTAGCCAGTCGTTGGTGGGGAGACGACGGTGTTCTATCTGCCACTGCAGCGAGGCCCGCTTTGCAGGCCTGGACCGCATGAGGGTGAACTAGGGAATGGGACGGATGGCATCAACCCCAACATTCAAATGAGACCTCCAACAGGTCTTCACAATGTCTTTCAAGTTTACTCTGGGGCGTAGTAAACCATATGCGGCCTTCACTGTCAAGCTGAACAGCATTACATTCTTAATCACCCGGGTTCTTCGCCCAAGGGGCCACTGCCACTCCTCAGGGTCAAAGGCGAGGTCTGTAAGACAGGTTAATCACCCGGGTTCTTCGCACAAGGGCCCACTGCCACTCCTCGGGGTCAAAGCGGAGTTCTGTAAGACGGGTCTCCGCCCGACATGCTATCCAATCTTCCTTATCTTGTAGCACCCAGATCCTGTGCAGATCAGCATTCAGGGTCAAGGGGGAGGTCTGTAAGACAGGTCTCCGGCCAATATGATATCCAATCTTCCTTATCTTGTAGCACCCAGATCCTGTGCAGATCAGCATTTCACTTGTAGGGGGATCCTATGCAGATCAGCATTCAGGGTCAAAGGGGACATCCGTAAGACAGGTCACCAGCCAATATGATGATATCCAATCTTCGTTATCTTGTAGCAACCGGATCCTGTGCAGATCAGCATTCTGCCACCATCTCATCCCGTCCAGGGTGCATCTGGTTAGCATTGCCTATTCCCTTGTAAAAGAGATTAACCAGTGTTGCATCCCCGCGTGCCTCCACAACGCTCACTGCGCTCTCCGGGTCTCCCGGAGTGGCTACCCAGTCCCCCTCCACCAGCCTCAGTCCCTTGCACAAAATGCACACCCAATCCACAGGGATTGCAAAGATCAGCTGTTCCAGATTCCTTTCTATGTTGTGACAATGTTTTGCACACTAAATCCAAGGGGATTACAAAGATCAGCTGTTCCAGGTTCCTTTCTATATTGTGACAATGTTTCAGTAACGTCCTCATCTGTGGCGCTGTTTTCCAATCTCTGTTTTCTGAATCCCAGATGTTTTTAACTCTAATTATGCCTTTCTTGACCCAGCTGCTGTTAGGAGGTAAATAATTTCGTAGATACGAATTTTTCGAGATCGAACTCTACTTATTTGATGAAATTCAGCTCTTGGTTCGGCCAGGGCTGTAAGCTGAACTGCGTGATGCTCACTCATTCCGGATGAAATTGTGAGATCCCCGGTCTAGATTCTTGATATAATCAATTGCTTCTCCTTCATAAAACAGGGAAAAAGAGAAGTCAAAATCTCTATAATCACCTCATATGCTAAATTCATTGTCCGTGATGATTCTAGCACCCTCTTTTTTCTGATGTCGTGCGATGGCCCACGGATCCGATTTCAAACTCTGCTTTTCGTTCTCTTGCCAAAAAGAATTTCGCACATCTTTCGAGGCTACGTTCGAAGAGAAGCAGAAAAAGTCATCGTCTTGACATCACAACAGGTCGTGAAGAGGCTCTGCTGTCAAGTTCCTGAAACAACAGCCGAACGGAATTTCACACATCTTTCGAGGCTACTTTTGAAGAGAAAAAGTAGAGTAGAACGGAACGCCGAATGGATCACGTAGCATTGATTTGGTTTTCAAGTTTACAAGACAACAGCCAATTGGAAGGCACGGTCATTATAGAGCTCCACTTGGAGCAATTTACAGTCCATAAATACGGCGACAATATAGTCGTACGTGCTCTATTCGGCGAAAGAAGGTACTAGCTCTCATTATGGTGGGCTTTCGGACGGTCTTTTGCGTTCCTCAATCATCAACATTTCACATTCGCTCTTCTTCAAGAATTTGTTGAACCACCTCTATCGTCGAATTCCCTTCCAGCTTCCAAAGGTAGATGTCATCAGGGTTTGCCTGAACCCATCGCACGGTGAAAAATAAGAACCTCGAAAGAAATCCTAGTCATTGCCAGCATTGTGAGGATACGACAAACGGCCACGTGTCGAGAACCTCATAAAAATCCGTTACTGAAACGGAACATCAAACCACCGGGACCAAGCAACGCCGCACTGCACGCCAAGCTTTGCCGAACCCTGAGCGGTGAACTTAAAATTTTCCTCTTCTTTAAGGACAGACATGAAGCGATTTGCAAGGCTGACGCCCCATACTGGCGTTCTAATGCCGAAGGGTTTCCGTCGCAGGTAGGGACCGAAAGGTGCACGTGAGTGATTAACGTATTTTGAAAGAAAAACAAAGGCAAAGCAAAATAAAGACAACGCTCCACCAAAGAGACCTCATTCCGTAGCCAATCTAATTTGCTTCAATACTAACGCGCACCCGACCCACCTCAATCAACAACCCCGAAAAGCGACCTCCACTCCATCCCCAATATCATAGAACCACCAAATCACTTGTGCCTAACAGTCGCAGAGCCCCGGACAAGGACTAACAACGTCATCTTTCGTCGAGATCGAAGATTTAGTGACCAACACCAACCCTAAAACTTGGAGCATGCTTGCAGGAGCTTAAACACGATTCAAAGAAAGTTGGATATTCATTTCAGTAGAGCTATAATTTTTTTTAATTTTTTTTACTAACAGCATATTATTAAAACATAGTTTTCACTTTTGTCATATTGTGAAAAAATCGTATAATAATAATCATATCCAATATTATCATTTATCAATCAGACATTATTTGCCAAGGAAAAACAGATCAGGTCCTGAGAATATCAGTAGACAGGCTTTGAGCGAGAGTACGCTATGACAAAAGGCCACCACCGGTCAGAATCTTCCATCGACCGAATGTGAACCAACGAATGACAAACAGCATATGTTTTGCCTCGACTCATCGGGAACGACATGAAATATATCAACGAGCACCGTCGAGTCAAAATCCAAATCGACGAAGTATCCTCTTCTCAGTCATCAGAGAGCGACTAGCCGTACATTCACGCGGACCAGAACTACTTTTTGGCGGTTTTCCATGTCCTAGTGGAAGATTCATACTCATTTTGCATATTTGTTGTCTAATATTAGTATCGGAAGGAGCAATTCTGGGATGCTTGGGTGTTCCAAAAAAACGATGATCTTCTGCCGGTCACAAAATCGCGGTGAGTGGAAGAAACAGATAGTGGGATATCAACCGTCCTACTAGTAAGGGGGCTAGCCCGTAAGATGGAAATAGGGTATAGCAGCAGCAGAGATAGTGGCTCTGCGGCAGTAAGTCTTCACCGGAGTGAGGTAAGGGGATTGAGGGGGGGGGGGGGGGAGTGAGATAAGGGGATTGATGAGGGGGTTTCTGCGTCGTTTCCTGAAAAAAATTCTTATGTTCTTGTTTTCTTAGCCAGACTTACACAACCTTCTGTAATTCAAAAAAAAAAAAGTGCTTCGCTTGATTACTACTGCCAACATCTGCTTCCGCTACTAATTGATCCTTTACGAAAGACGTCCAGTGCACGTTCTCGGTAGTGTATGGCGCTAATCACCCACACACGTCGAGCTAAAACACGCGAGTGCTTGTCCTAACAACGCAGAATCAAAATCGTATTCCTATAGAGGAAGACGAAAACTTCGTGAACGGAAAATCTGTTAAATTGCATTTTCAGTCATAAAGATTTCACGTGCTTATGCGCAGGTTCAGGGTTTACTTCGGAGACTGAATTTTCTCAAGGGCACGTTCGTCTACGATGACACGATCCCGAGGATGCAATATCCAAGAACATTACGACGGAATTTTTCAAACTAGAATGCGTTCAGAGAGAATTCACTTCTTCCCGCGCCGCAGTGCATAGACTCGGGTGTAGGGTTTTCCTCTTCGGGTCAAAGGAGAGATGCTTATCCTCAGGTCAAGAAGAGGAGATTCCCGTAAAACACGATCACGAGAGCAATCCAATGAATACGGTAAATTTCGCATTCATTCACGGAGAACTCACGTGGTCTTGCGCTGTGCACACTCCGGTAACCAAAAAGTACTCGGGTTTAGGGTTAACTTCGGAATCTGCAGAGTCCTCAGCTCAAGGAGAACGATTCTACTCAGATGGAGAACAGGCGATTCTCGTACAGCACGATCACGAGGGTTCTTACAACCAGATTTACGAGAATGCTACTTAGTACATTCTGAGAACATCCGTCCGATTGTAAATCCACGCTGACGAACACGGCCTCTTCACATTCTGTCATGCAAGGAACTTCACAAACTGCATCACAAGTCAACCACGACCAGACCTCGTCGCCGCCGCCAGACACCGTAGGCAAAACAACAAGACAACACAAGACATGTCATTTTCAAAGATCTGGCCACCGTCATGAAGGACGGTGGTCACTCTGCTAGGAAACATTCGACAGAACAATGCAATGATGAGCTCATATCATGCTCCAACAATTTGCGAAAAAAGGGGATGAAGGGGATGATCATCAAGTATATCTCGGCGGCGGGGTAATTACGTACCGCAGAAATTCACAAAGCGGCAAAGAAAGTGGAAAACGATAAAAAAAAAGAGCAAAGCGGAGGAGAACACACGAACATATTAAGCGAGAGCTAAGAGTGTTCGGACTCGTCAGTTCTCCCCATTACATAAACGTCAGTGGGAGGAGAAAAGCCTGCCGAGACAAGAATTTTGAAATAACAAACAAAAGCAGACTTGAAACGTTTGAGAAAACGTAAGAGGAGAAACAAGAGCGTACGGAAGAGAAGCCGAGTGAGAACAAGAAGCGGAAAGACAACAAACGAGCGAAGACATGAAGAGAAATGGAAAGGGAAGGCAATTATGCCAGAGGGCACGAGAGGAAGAGGAAAAAGTGGAGTACAAGAGAAGACCAAAAAAAAAAGAACAGGAGGGTGGCCACGCGCAGGAGCGGAGAAAACAAGGGAGAGGGAAAATCGAGACGGAAAAGACAACGAAGTGGAGGGAAGGACTAAAGGGAGCGGAAGAGAAGAGATGGAGCGTAGGGCAAGACGAGAGGGAGTTTAAGGGAAGAGGACGGAAACAAGAAGACAGGGAGAGGGGAAGACAGAATGGGTAAAGGACCGGGAGGGCAGACGAGCGAGGGGCAAGACAAAAGAGACAGTAGAGGGCCAGACGCAAGACGAGCGAGGGGTGCGGCGAGAGAGAGCAGAGGGCGAAAGGGAAGACGACCGAGCTTGTAAGACGAGAGAGTTGTTGGAGAGCGAAGACAGAGGGAGAAGGAAGACGAATCAAGGCGAAGACATGGTAGTGCAAGGAAGAATTAAAATGACGAGGAGACCGATAGATGAGTAGACGAGGGAAGAGGTTGGGGAAGCAAGCTAGGGAACGACGGAATGGGAAAAGGTTAGGTGATCTATTGGTGAGAGAAACAGGTAAATAGGAGGAGAGAAAAGGCATGTAGACGAGTGGAATAAGAAATCACGACGACCGAGATACTGAGGCGGAGTTGTGCATAAGCGAAGGAAGATGTTTGAGACGGACGCGAGGCATAGGCAACGAAAGGCTGGATGGAGAGCGAAGATTAGAGAGACAATGGAGCGGGGTGTCAGAGTAACATCAGTGAGGAAAAAGAGAGAGAGACGACCAGTGGGACATGGAAAACAGGTACAGATTTAGAAAGTCACTGTTGTAACGAGCGAAATAGAAGGAACCAGTAAGGTAAAAAGGAGGAGACACGACTGGGAAGGGAAGACGCGCAAGCAACGAAAGACGGATAGGGAAGACGCGAGAAGGATAAGGAGGACCAGTCGCAAGGGAGACTGGCAACGTATCCAAGAGGGAAAGGGGTGTAGGAAAGAATTGAAAGACATCGAAGTAAGAAAACTGAGACAGGAGAGAAAAAAAAAGTGAGAAAGAGCGATGACGCAGCGAGAATGAGAAAGGCAAAAGAGAAGACCATGATCCGTTTCTTCACAGTCCATTTCTACAGTTAGTACACTTCAGCAGCACACGAGTTTTTCACCTGGACCATGAGCAGACATCACGAGAATGCAAGATTGTAGGCAGAGGGAAGGGCGTGTGGAAGATGTGAAACGTGACGAGAGAGCGTAAAGAAAGAGGGAAACAGACAAACTTCCAAAAGACTCGAATTGATCAGCAAATATGGCGTGTATAACGACTCGGTAAGTCTCAGAACGATTCAAAACTCGAGAGCCAGGTCAACATAACAGGACATCCACGCCACAGGCATGGGATCCAAGTTCTCCAGATTCACTTTCCAGTTGGATACTTAGTCGAAAACTCGAAACCCTAAGACCGATTCGCTTAAGTAACGCTCATCGGACAGCGTCCCCAAAAAGCAATCTCCTCGTGGTACGCACCCCCAGAAAGCAATCTCCTCGCCACTTCAACTGACAATTCGACTATAGATAGATAGTTGCCCCTGCCTCCTCGCTACGTCCATTTTTCTCCTCACATAGACCACAAAAGATGTGCTGCCAGCCTCGCAAACGTAGCAAAAGACGCGCCCCCAACCTTAGTCCTGAGAGGCCTTCTGGTACACGTACGTGAGACCGCACTTCCCGCAGTAGTGTCGATCAAAATGGTTGGCCATGAAAGTTCCCGGCCCGCATTCCGGATTCAGACACTGCTTCCGAAGACGAGTGACCTTCCCTGTGTCATCAATCTTATAGAACTGAAGGGTGGGAAGCTTGACCTTCTTCTTCTTGTGCTTGATCTTCTTCGGCTTCGTGTAGGTCTTCTTCTTTCTTTTCTTCGCTCCGCCGCGAAGCCTTAACACAAGATGCAGAGTCGACTCCTTCTGGATGTTGTAGTCCGCAAGAGTGCGTCCATCCTCAAGCTGCTTCCCCGCAAAAATCAACCTCTGCTGATCAGGAGGGATYCCCTCCTTATCTTGAATCTTCGTCTTCACATTGTCGATGGTATCCGATGCCTCTACCTCAAGGGTAATAGTCTTACCCGTGAGGGTTTTCACGAAGATCTGCATCGCGCCTTGCTCCTCTGAGCACCTCTACACTCCTGTCACCACTCCCAGAGAGTTTTGCCTGCCCACTCAGGACTTTTCCTTCGTTGCGGGCGGCGATCCGCGTAAAACTCGACCTAGGAAAGGATGGATCGTTTCCGGTTGTTTATTCTTATACCTCGCTTGACACTTCGCCACCCACGGCGGGATGTGCAGGTCGCTGCAGATCGCCTTCGCCGAAGGGCCGCGTCCCACTGCACTCCCCAACCAGGTAGTGGGCCTACTACCTAGTGGCCCTCGGCCCCTCCGCGGCCAATACCGAGGAGCCTTACCGGCAGGCTGTAGCTCAGCTGGTACACCCATGAACTGTTGAAATGCCCTCCAAAGTTCGAATCCAGATGCGATCGGATGAACAAAACACCAACGGGCCTAACTCAGTTGCTATTGCTATGGCCCTGAACTGTTGAACACAGACGGAAGTTCGGATCCACAGAGAGAACCTCGGCTGTTTGTCAAGGCGCCCGGGCGCCCAACCTGTGCCCGGATACAAGCCTGGGTGCCCGGACGGGCATGAGCCCCGGGCAGGGTTCCTGGCAGCCCCTGCGCCAAAAAAAAAAAAAAACGGAAACGAAATTCAAAAAATCCCAGGATAAAAATATGTTGTCTACAATTGCAATACAAACGACATTTCGCTGAGGGTCACATCAGAATTCCTCACGGCACTTGGGTGACGCAGGTAAGTTACTGTGTACCACGCAAGCGCAGAAGTGCAGCCCTTGCGCAGCCACTCGGGAGCGAGACCGGCCGGCGGGCAGGGCTTGGATTGTGAACGGGCCTGGGCACACCACTCTTGAAACGGGCCCAATCTCGGGACGTCGCCACACTCCACTTAGCACGACAACAACCTGGTTGTTTTTTGTGTTTTTTTTCATTTTTTGTTTTTCCATTTCGAGGGCAAACTCACAGTAGCACGCATTTTGCAAGCCAGCATTCTGCTGTGCACACCTCCAAACCCACTTTGGCCCGGCCTTCCGAAAATCGCACCCTCGCGCGATATTGCCTGAAATGGAAAACCGGCCGCCGTCCATGAAAACGGCCCGCCGAACGCAGGTAAGTTATTAGAGACACTGCCTGCGCACCACCCAAAGGGTAGTCCATGGTTGTTGTATGTGGGGACTGGGCCATGGTGGGTACCCTGATGTCCTTGGTCTACGGGGTTGTCACGAGACTGCTGGGTGGCTTGCATAGTCCGGTTTACTCGAGCCCAGCAGAGCACAGCTATAGACTATTTCACAGTGTAGGTCGATAGGTTAGGTCACTTGCACAATTCTGTGTTCGATACCAGACCATATCTTAGGGCTGGTCATCCTCTTAGTACGTGGTCAAAGGATTGAGGCTGGCATAGCAGTTCCTTAGTAGGGGATGTAGGGAGTGTCAGGAGATAGTGCACTTTACCGCAGGGCCGGAACGGCTTCCAGGGACATACGAGGGAACAGAGGATTGTCTGCTCTCAGATTACCATACAACACAGGGCTAAGAGATTATCCAGGGTCAATACATTCAGTCCATGATTCACGATTGAGGGTGGGCCACCCTCCTAGTACGTACCTTAGAGTTGAGGCTGGCATAGCAGTCCTTAGTACGGATGTCGCGGGTGTCAGGAGATACTGCACCTTACCGCGGGGCCGGAACGGGCTCCAGGGATATACGAGGGAACGGAGGATCCCCATCTCTCTACCATCAACATCATAGTACACTGTAGGAAAAAGACAACATAAGGATAAAGAAAGAAACTCAGTCCATAACTCATGACCTAGGGTTGGCTATCCTCCTAGTACGCAGCATAGGGTTGAGGTTGGCATAGCAGTTCCTTAGTACGGGATGTCGGGGGTGTCATGGCCAGAACGGGCTCCAGGGACATACGAGGGAATGGAGGATATACCCAGTTCTCTATCATCACCACACAACTAAGCTAGATGGGAGTCATTGTGCACCCTCATGAAGACCTGTAGTAGCATGTTCAAACCTAGCTCCCGAAGTCCCCGTGCAATCAGGCTTGCACGGCGTCTGCTTCAACCGGGGCTAAGCAGGGGGTAGGCGTCTCTGCTTAGCCCCGGTACCTGCAACCGCTGTCTGGTCAGGTCACCCCGCCAAGATAGCAATGGGTGATGGTCTTGGGTGGTTAACACTAGGGTAGGACAGGGGGGGTGGGGGTGCGCCAGGGCAAAAAGATAAGAGGAAGGGTGGGTGGGGTCTTCAGAGGGGTTCATCTGGACAACCGAGTGGACGAGTACTGTGGGTGACTGCCATCCATCTAGTATCCCACCTCTAAAAAGAAAAAGAAAAAAGAAAAAAAAGAATTCCTCACGGCAAAGACGACTTCGTAGCCGAGGTCTGGTAATTGTTGTAGATACAGTCATGTCACCCTAGCAAAGGGGGTATGAGATCTAGCGAGTTCTTGTACGCGGACTGGATGCCTGGCCAGTAGTCCTCCCTCTGCGATGCGGGGAAGAGTTGGATTGTGGGTGGTCTTTCTGTTTCTTCTTAGCCGAAGCCAGGTATTTGGGTTAGGGGGTTCTGAGTTGGTATCTCAAAGAAAAGAGGGAAGGGGGGGGGAATGCTAGAACTGGAGGATAGTAGGTAGAAAGGAAGGCTCTCAACAGACGAAGGTTGTTTGCTAAGGTAAGTAGGTTAGAAGGACGATGCTGGGACGACACAAGTCAGTGCTGGAGCTCTTGCTCTATGACCTAGATAGGGGAGCTTGAGGCCGATGGAGTTATGTTGAGGGTGGAAGGAATAACCAGACCGTTCGACGTTATCGGCGCTGGGGTATTAACCTGGTAGTCTGTGTCAGGGGCTTGCCGCTATGGGAAATGTCGAGGGAGGAAGGCACTTCTTGTGCATCCGAACTAATTTGGTCAGTACTGGGGAAGGTTGTGGTGTCCTGTAACCCTAGCAGAAGGGGGTATGAGATCAAGTGAGTTCTGGTACGAGGACTGAAAGTTTGGGCCGACGTTCCGTCTGTTGAGGAGGGGAGATTTGGATAGTAGGAGTTTCAGTTTTTACCGCCCTCTCTCATATTATTTCAAGCTTAAGTATTGTCTAAGTAGCCTAGCAATAGGTTAGCAAGTTATCCATGTTTTCTTAAATTTTTTAGAATTTTTTTCATAGTTCTCAGATTGTTCTTAGCCGAAGCCAGGTAGTGGTCCTGGTATCTCAAATCACTTGTATAATTTTATATGGGACACTGGGTCCGGTTCCCAACACGTGTTGCTCCCCACGAATAGATTGTAGTTTTTTGTCTCCCCCCCCCCCCCCCCCCCCCCAAAAAAAAAAAAAAAAAAAAAAAAGATTAGGGCATACTCACACTGGGATCTATAATCCCAAATTCCCCAAGGGAAAGGGTAGAGGGCCGGTCACACATATTTGCCGAAGTCCTAAGGGCATACTCACACGGGGACCTATATTCCCAAAAATCCAAAAATAAAGGGGAAAAGGTCGATCACACAGATCTACCAAATTCGCAAATGTATTATTCCTGTGCCCATTTGTCAGCGGTCTGGGAAGCCGCGGGCCAAGGGATTTTGTGGTCACCTTTGGACGTGACCGCAAATGCTTTTTTTTTTTTGCATTTTCTTCAAAAATTGGAAAACTATCGTTCACAAAAATTCTTGCACAATTTGTGGATGGAGTTGTGTGACCAGCCAAGTACCAAATCCCCATTTCTCCAGACGGCCGCCACCTTGTCCCATTTGAAAAGGTACCGCAATGTGACGTGAACCATGCCCCAAACCTCAAATTTGTCCTTCCCAAATCCGCATATTTTGCGGATTTGGGGTCGCCGTGTGAGTATGCCCTAAATGTAGTATTTGTGTGCTCATTTGTCAACGACCTGTGTGGTTGCAGGGCAAGCAAATTTTTGGTCACCTCTGGAGGTGACCGCAAATGCCTTATTTATTTTTTGCATTTTTTCTTTGAGATTTGGTGAAAATTCGTTCACAAAGGTTCTTGCACAATTTGTGGATGGTGTCGTGTCACCAGCGACATACCAAATCGCCATTTCTCCAGATGGCCACCACCTTGTCCCATCCAAAAAGGTAGAGCAGTGTGACCCGAACCATGCCCAACACCTCAAATCGGCCCTTCCCAAATCCATATATTTTGCGGATTCGGGGTCGTTGTGTGAGTATGCCCTTAGTGATACTAGTTATCGTTTATGTTGACTTTGTAGTCTAAGTTGCTATAGTATTAGCTGCATGTAAATACTGGGTAGGATTGGTAATGTTCAGGCAAGTTTTGACAACTTTTTGTCATTTTCGCAACTTGGGATCTATGATGAGACGGGTTGGAACAGACACCTTCATTGTGGTAGCACAGTGGTTAAGGATGGGTTTCGCCAGGAGTGTCTTTCCCGCCCGGTTCGGCTGCGACATTCATGTAAGGGATGTCTGGCACTTTGCCCGGTTTTATAATGGAAAGTTGCTTTCTTTCTTTATTTTTTTTTTAAATCCACACGGAATTGAAGATAAAAAATAAAACAATAAAATCAGGTAACCCCCTTCATACCCCTTTAACCTCTTAAAAACCAATTTATACCCCCCTTTCCCCCCTTGACAAACAACAGTCGAAAAAAAAAAAGAGCTCGGATTTGTGCTCCTCTGGCCATGCTAGGCTACCAAAGTGGCCCATGACCAACTGTACGGGCGGGCCAAAAAAAATAAAACAATTAAAATTTTAAAAAAATAATAAATTAATTTCATTTAAAATTTGGTAAGGAATTTCGATGTGTCCCTGAGGCAAAAGTTGTTCAATTTATTTTTTTTTTTTTTTTTTTTTTGTGTGTGCTGGGACCTTCTTTGGCCCTGTCTCTTATACACATCTAGATGTGTATAAGAGACAGACATAGCAGCTTTTCAGTTTTTTTTTTTTTTTTTTTTTTTTGTGTGTGCTGGGACCTTCTTTGGCCTTTGTATGGTCGGGCCACCTGGGCAAACAAGGTGACCCAGACAGCCCGGTTGGTAGCCTAGTAAATGGATGAAACCCCAGACAACTTGCCCAAGTTGCATGGCCATGCTGCACGGCCGGACAAACAAGGGGTAACTAGGGCGCAATCACGATTTCAGTTTTAAATCCACCTCCCTCGAATACAACACATCCCCAGCCGACCCTAAAGTTAGGTTGTATACTGTATACA